TAGGAGGCTCAGTTTATATGGATAGTTTTTATTTTTTACAATAACAAGCCGCAATGAAAACAAGCAAAAATGAAAAAAGTAAGGACTTTCTGTGACACACGTCAGTGGACTCATCCACAGCCTTCATGGCTTCATCAAGCTGGGCCAACACATCCTGTGTCAAAATGTCACTGTTTTTGGTGGCAGAGGATGCTGACATGGGGATTTTGTTCAAATGTATGTTGATAACTGCCTTGTAAGAGTTGTTTAGTAATAAAATAAAATAAAATGCATCTGCAGAAAGCACCAAAACAAAGAGGAAACTACAGAACTGAAGGACAGAGAGACTCTGTCTTCAATTAATGCAAAGATTTGGGCTCATTTAGGTTTTTACTGAATGAGTCTGAGTTCGTCATGAGCTTCACTGTGTGCAAGGCTTTCAAAAAACAAACATGAAGCACTTTGGGAACAAAATGGGCTCACTTTATCAGTTRTGAATGAAAAAAAAATCGATTTTGAATCAAATCGTGAGAGAGTAAAAGATTCCCAGCCTCATAATTAGCTGACAGACAAACTGAGCTGACTTCAAATAATTAACTAGACATGGGTTTTTACGATGTAAAAACGAGTGTGCATGTCTTTGTAGCGTGTCTTTGCCTGCAGCAGTGGACTTGCAGAATGAACTGTGACCAAGTTCAAATGTGTTTTCTATACCAGCTTGTGCDTGTCAAGTCAGCAGGTGTTTGTAATAAGGGTAATTGTGTGACAATATGAAGTTTGTAGAGATTTTTTGTTAAAGTTACTGTATCTGGGTTTAGAACCCTGATCTCCCACATGAAAGTCCATGGCACTAACCATGAGACCATTAGAGCTGTGGTAGAGAACGAGGCCTGGGTTTGGTTTGTKTGTGTGCAGAAAGTGGCCACATTGCCAATGTAATGGTTGTCACTAANTTATTAAACATTAATATTTCCAAAAATATAAGTTGTACAGGCACCAGAGGTCATAGCCATCATTTGGCACAGGAGCTTTACAGATATAAATTACAATGGCAGCTGTAGGACAAAGTATGCAGGAGGAGAAGCATGGCAAAGTGGACATGACTTGGATGGGAAACGAATCACAACTGATGACAAGAGTTTATTCAACCACCAGCTCGTCTGTTGTGTGTTGGCTCTCAGCTGAGTGGACTCGTTGTGAGATATTTTGCTAACAGACCCACACACAGACTTCATCGCCCTCCTTCTCTGCACCTYAATTAAAAACGGACCTGAGATGAAACCTGAAACACGTGAATCAGAAGCCGGACCTCACCGGTGGTTGGTGGTACCGGGCCCACGTAGCGCACCGTGGCCCGTTCCCCGTCGCAGGAGACCCGCTTGCCCACCGGGTCTGCTGGGATCCCCGGCTCCGTGAACTCGGTTCCCATGATGTTGAGCTGCGAGCAGAGGAGACCGGAGATCAACCAACAGGTTCGGGTTTGTTTARGTCTCCTCTTCAGAGCGGTGGAGCCTTATTTACATGAAACAGACGAGCGGGTGGAAACCGGAAGTGACACATTTCGCTGTCGTACCTGTTTCCGCAAGATTTATTTTTATCGTTTGGTTTTTATTTATTTATTTAAATACACAATTTATTGATTCAAAACGATATTTACGATAATATCTAATTAATTTCTTTTTAAGTGACAATATTAAACATAGCTGTGATAAGGGCTACCAGGAACCTTTACGCTGAGTTAGTGTTTCATAGGAGCCATACTTTGAGGACGGACAGTTATGAGATTAAAAAGAAACGTGTAAACACAAAGTTGGAGCTTAATTTGTAGAGAATCGATATAACGACACTTATCCTCAGAGTTTTTTTGTTCTGACAGAGAAACAGAGTGAACGGCCGTGGATTGGATCATCTGGATTAAATGGAGATGAAGAAGAAAGCTGTTCACAGCAGGTCTGTTTACATGTGGAGCTGACCGAACTTTGTTGGGTCTATGCTAACACTTAGCTAACACTTAGCTAA